TCTTCTTCTTCTTCTTCTTCTTCTTCTTCTTCTTCTTCTTCTTCTTCTTCTTCTTCTTCTTCTTCTTCTTCTTCTTCTTCTTCTTCTCTGTCTTGTAAGAAATTTATGTTTCCTTTTCATTTCTGATTTTTTTTTTGCAAAGAACATAGAATTTATTAAAGACTCTTCATCCACAGCACTGATTCTGAGAATGAAATAGGAAACCACTGCCAACAGATTCCGACCCTCTGTACTGAGACCCGTGACTGCACAAGCTCAGGATCTGGCATACAGGACAGCATCCCATGCAGAAGACTTGGGGTCTGACTGCTGACCCCCCTTGTCTGTGGAAGGAATCAATCAGGCCAGGCCCTTTTCTCCGGGTGCTATCCCATGGGACTCACCCAGCACAGACCCAGGAAGCAGATCAAGTGCTGTGATCCAGTAGCATGTTCCCAGGGGGGCAGGCAGAGCCAGGCCAGAAGGAACACAGGTGTCCTGGGCAGTGTCTGGTGGGCCTAGCTGATGACCCATGCCTCAGGCTGGGAGGGTCAATGTTGGGCTTGAACCACTAGCTTTTGAGTTCAGGAGAACAGAGAGTGGCTGGCAGGACTGTCCCCACCATGACCACAGATCTCTGAGTCTGGCCAGGACACCAGCCCTCTGGTCTTCCTTACACTAGGGCCAGTAGAGCTCACAGCTGTAACAGCCAGGACCCACTGGAAAGGCAGGTCCCAGAGGCAAGGGGAGGGAGAGATGTCCCAGCTGAATTGGGAAGTGGGCAGATCATATCTGCAACTCCTTTCTTGTCCCATCACCTCCCTACTCCTATAGCACTTGTCACTCTTCAATGAATAGGCAGGAGCCTGAATAAATAGTAAATGCCTCCCAAATCCTGGGTTGGGAGAGGAGGTGGCAAGGAGGCAAGTGCAGAGTCCTGTGTGTCCAAGAAGAGCCTGACCGGGCAGCTCCCGGGCCATGGGACAGCAGGCTGGGTTCCCACGGGGTCAGTCTGGGACGAGTCTCAGAACCCAACCCCCATCCCCAAGCCACCTGCCTGGCACAGAACTCCAAGCAGATGGTGGCACCTGCTCAGGTCGCCCCACCCCCGTACTGCAGGGCCAGAGCACCTGACCAGACAAGACTTGCACCTGTGACTGCCGCCACCTGTGCAGGGCACAGGGGACACCAAGGCCCAGACAGGCTGTCCTGGTGCCAAGATTCAGGCCACAAGCTCTGCTCTACCTTCAAGAAAGAGGATCTTTCTTGTAGTCTAGGCTGGTCTTGAATCCACTATGTAGCCCAGGCTGGCCTCACACTTGATTACAGCTGTGTGATGTCATACCCATCCTGATTTTTGGCTTGTTTTCTTTCTCCTCTGATTATTATTATTATTTTTTCTTTCTGGTACTGGGGATTGAACTCAAGACCTTCAGCTTGCCAGGTGGTTATGCTCCTGAGCTGTCTCCCTGGGCCCCTCTGATTAATTTTTGTTCTTTTTATTTTTTAAAAAGAGTTTTTCTTAATTGAGAGTTTCTGGATTTTGTTTTGTTTTCTCCCTTTCCCTCTCCATCCCTCCCTCTCCCTCTGTGTCAGTCTCTCTCCTTCCCCTTCCCTCTTTCTCTCAGGGTCTTTTTGTTTTTGTTGTCTTGAGACAGGGTTGCTAGGTAGGTAGCTCAAGGTGGCATTGTGCTCACTGTGCATCCCTAGTTAACCTAAGGCTTGTGGCGCTGTCCTGTTTCAGCTGCCCAAGTGCTAGGATGACAGGCTCGTGCTGCAATGCCTCACCTGAGCTCAGGGTTTCATGCACAGGTGGGAGGTGCTGCATCCCTGAGCTTTTCCCCAGCCCCTCTCAATTAGACCCCTAGCCCAGTAACCTTTAATCTTCTTTTCTAATGTAATTTGATACTATAAACTTTTCTTTAATATGCTAATGCTTTATCGTAAACTAATGCTTTAGATTTATCATAAACTTTGACACATTAGCATTCAATTTTAATTTCTAATTTTCATTATATCATCTTTAACCCATGGATTATTTAGAAATTCAAAGTTTTTCTAAATATTTGAAGTGTTATATTTTGTTATTCTTTTTTTTTTTTTTTTTTTTTTTTTTTTTGTATTTTAGGACAGGGTCTACAGGGTCTACAGGGTCTCACTGCATAGATTGTACTCTCAGTGATCCTCCTGTTTACAGCGTCCCAAGACCTGGGATTACAGGCGCACGCCACCATGCTCAGTCTCAATTGCCATCTCAGCACATCCCGGGGCTGGGGCCGGCACGGGAGGCCCAGGGATTGAACTCCCAGTCCCTGCATCTGCCTAAACAGGCTCTTTAATCCACTGAGCTATTTGGCCGGCCCTTGTCATTCATTTTTAACTTAATTAAATTATAGAATATGTGATAGGTAGAGTAGAGGTTTTAGAAATCTGTTGAGCCTTGCCTTATGACTGAGTACATGGCATTTAAAAATGATTTATGTTTGTTTGAAAAAATAAGTGGCATCCAGAATTGCAACTTAGTCTTCTCGCATCTGCTTGGTGTATGAGCTCCTCACAGGGGCACACTGATGTCTCTGCAGCCAAGTCTGTTTCCTTTTGTGATCTCACTACCTTTGGTTGTATGTGTGTGCAGTGTAAGAAAAGTCATTTTATAATTACTATGCATTTATTTTAAATTTATTTACTAATTATGGCAAATGATATAGTAATAAGATGTATTTCCTCATGAGATAAATTTTACTAAGCAAAATGGGAGATGATCAAAAGAATAGTACTGGGTGCATAAAGCTTAAGTCGTAAGGGACTGAGGAGAATCTAGCAGGTAGCAGAGGGCTTGCCCCTTCCCCTGCTCCTGGCCCCGCAGCCCTGGGTCCTGTCGTCTGGGGAGTGACACCACCTTCCCCGTCAGCCCAGCTATAAACCATGCCAGCCCATCCCAACAGGACTCTTGTTGGTTCCTTCTTGGCTGCTTCCCACAGCCCCCCGTGACTTCTCTCCTCCCCAGTGGGGCCTCCAAATCTGTTGTCTGCAGGAACTGTTCTGCACTCAGAGCTGGCTCAGCTCCCCTGTCTTTTCTACTTAGGGGCTCTCCAGCCTGGTGAGCAGTAGCCCAGTGCTCCCACCTAGCCTGCCTTGTCTGCTTCTCCACAAGAGCAATGCACTGTCCCCTGTGGTGCATGCTGCTAGCTTCTGCTAGACTTTGCAGGCCGCCCCTCTTCTGGGGCAGCCTTGGCCTTACTTTCTGCCCAGGACTTACTGAGCCACTGAGCCGGAGATACCACTGCCTCCAGAGAGCCTTCACCCAACAAAACAGATGGTGTCCAGGGGGCTGGGAAGATAGCTCAGTAGAATAAGTGCTTGCTTGGCAAGTGCAAGGGCCTGAGTTCAATCCCCGGTTCCACCAAAAAAAACACAACAAACAGATGGTGTCCCTGGGTCCCTCAGGGCTCCTCCTCTGCACTTGGAGTTCCTGGAGAGCAGGGAGTACTTCTAGGTCATCCCTGGTGATGTGAGAGAAAAATGCGTGCTGATGGTGAAGACTATCTAGCTTCAGAATCCAAGGGACATGGGCAGTGTGAGAAACTGTCTTCCTGCACCTCTTCCCAAAGTACCCAAAACTGCCCTGGCTGGCAGAGGGTGTGGGACAAGGAGACTGTGCGTGGGTGCCGGCCAGAGCAGATCAGAAAAGGACCATGGTATTAAATTACATCTGGTTAAACTTGGAGAGCAGCCAGGTGGCTTTTTTTTTTTTTTTAAGGCTATTCATCAATTGTTTCAAGCCCACTAAGTAGTCTTTAAAATTGTTTTATGACCATATTCACTAATAAGCAATGCCGTAAGAGGGGGAAAGACTCTTAAATGCTTCCTTAAATAAAAGGCATCTACTTATGATACTAAGCCTGTTTTTGGTACCAAAGAAACTCTGCTAAAGCATTTTCTCCTATTTGCCTTCTCTTGTTCTTTCCCACATGCCTGCTTTTCTCCACAAATACAGATCTTACAGTCTTTAGGACAGAGCAGCACGGGGAGAAGAACCCAGCAGCGTGGTAGGGACGGGACCCCAATGAAGAAAGGAGAAAAGGAAAGTCTTTTTCTCTGTTCATTTAATATAGTTCTAGATGGAAATACAAAGTATACATCAACTAAATCCAAGGCCGCCTTTCCTAAACTATATTTCACTGACCACTACTTCACAAAATGTTAAAGAAGTGTTTAAATGAACAAATATTTTTAAAGGCCTCCCTTTGAGTACCTATTGGTTCATTAAAGTCTCTGAGAAGTCCTGCAAGAAAAGACTGTTGAACTGCATTTAACCAAGCATTTCCCAATATTTATTTGATTATAAATATCCTTTTGTATGGAGCACCTATTAACAAGTGGCAGGAGCACATCATTTGGATCAAAATAGGACTGAAAGTAGCCTGGTCGGGTGGGCACATGTTTCATGCAATAAAGAATATTCTGCAGTAGCAGAGATTGAACATCTTAACCTAAAAAGAACACCAGATAAACTTGAAAATGCTGTTGTTATGGTTCATATCTAGATATAGCCCCTCATGCAGTCTTGGGGGAGGGGCTTTTTCTCTAGACCGCTGAATCTAGCTTGTGTGGGTGGTTCCTAGTAAAATGCTGGGATTAAGGGTGGGTGATTGGTGGATCAGCCCACCTAATTCCTGTCTACTGGACACAGTGTTAGGGGCAGAAAGTCTGTCTGTCTGTCTGTCTGTCTGTCTGTCTGTCGGTCCATCAGTCTGTTGGTCTGTCGGTCTGTCCGTCTGTCAGTCTTTCCTTGCTTTTGCTATCTTCCACCGCCATGAGCCGCTGCCCTCTGTCATGTGCCGCTCTGCCTTGGAGCCAGTCGCGTATGGACTGAAGCCTCTACACACTGTGAGCTGAGCCTTTTCTCCTTTCACCTGATGTGTTGGATATTGGGTCTCAGCAATGAGAGAAAAGTAGGTAAGACAGCTGTCCAGAACTCATAAAAAATCTACATTCGATTATGTGACAATGTTGTAAAATGCTGCACGACACATTAAAGTAATCAGATTATACCTCATTACCCTACAATCTTCTAATCACATATTTATATATTTTACATTATATCTGTAAGATGAGTCCTATTATAAATATTATGCTTGAATTGTAGAAGTATGCTATAACCCTTAACTATAAAGGATTCCATGAAATAAGGAAGTAACAGCTTTGGATAATGATACTACCAGGGTGAAAGAATGATTTAAAATTATAGTATCACAGAACTTCAGAGCGAAAGAATTTAGAGATAATTTTAACCCAGTAGTCTCATTTTAGAAAGAAGAAAATTGACAATTATATTTGAAGTCCTCGCAGAGAGGAATGGGAGCAAAAGCACAGGAACGATGGGGAACATTTTGCATAGCATTTTCCCTCACGCTGCAGGTAGCAGGAAATAGTCAAGCACTCAGAGAAGCTGGGAGGTTAGAGTTCTATAAGAAGTCGTTTGAATGCGAGATGGTTGGCACACTTGTCTGTGGCAGAGAGAGGTGTGCTGTGTCTCACAGATGAGCTCTGTGATCAGGTCGGGCCTGCTCTCCCCAGCCACATGAGTGGGGGAAGGGAGGTCCTGCAGCCAGGATGTATCATGACAGTGACTCAGATTTACCCAATTGCTTGTAAGTAATACTAGCCAAAGTAAGTGGGTGCCCATCTTCTCTGCAAATAGCATTGTTCCCCTGAGGTGCAT